TAACCAACTGAGCTAACGGGCCGTGTGATAGACATTGCTAAAGCCTATATTTTATACATAGTCATCTATCTTTTCATGCACCCAGCAGATGAACAGTCGCACTGACTTGGCAATTTCAAGTAAAAATATAAGAAAAACGTACTTCACTTTGGAGAACAGAATTTTCAACTGCAAGCAGTTCTTTTATATACACAACCCCGATATATGTCACAACCGGCTTCTTCCCAATCCTTGTTATTCACCATTCATATTCCTATCACATTCAAAGGAATATAACGTCTACAGCTGAAATAGTATCATTAAATAACTTGACAGTCCCATCTACATCTAGGTCTAACTAGTAGTCTGCTTCCCTTCAGGTTCTCTGGCTAACATTTTTCATTTCATCAACCATGCGTGCTACACGTCTCGTCAACTTATTTTTCCTCGATTTGGCAACCCTAATATCTTTTTATGTATATTACAAATTTTGGATATCATTAATATGAAATTTTCCGTATATTCTTAACGTTTTACCCCACAAGGAGGGCCCCTCACAAGTCAAAGATTCTCCTCAACACACTTTTTTTTCAAAGTTCCTTAATCAGAGGTCTTCCCTTGTGCAAGAGACCAAGTTGGCACCCACACAAAACAGTGTGTACAACTAAAACTTTTCCAGTGCTTCGATACCTGTGGCTGTTGCGTGCGAAAGCGGTTTAAGGGGCAGATCGTCATGGATCTGTGTAGCTCGCAATGCGGGTCTCAGGAACATGTTCTGTCACTGCAGTCATGTATTACATTCGGCACTCCGTAATCTTACGTCTGGGTTTTTACTGCCAATAGGTTAGGCTTTACCTCCCCGTGTCAAGCGAAATCCAACCCTGGGATACTCCGCGGTGCTCTTCAAATAAGCCCGCCTTCCTTTCGATCCCTGTTCCAAAATAACATCCCTTGTTTCTCCCTCCAAATTTCACTGCCTTCCTGCCATGCCTGCTTTTATTACTGCCAGTGGAACAGTTATTTAAAATTCTGCAATCACTGCACAGCATCTTTTCATGTTCGGATGATAAAAAAATGTATCTTTTAACATTTAACACCAAATGCGGTCAGTTTTAAACCCAGTACGTTATGACGTTAATTCCAGCGATCCAATTATACAAGAATATCTTCAAAAAATTCAAAACAAAATCTTACACCACTGGAGAGCGAAGCCAAAGCGAGTGATGACAGCTCACAATTCGCACAGCAATGGTAAAGTGTTGTGTTCTCTTAGCGGTACGGACCAAATTCTTAAAATAATATTCAGACAAGTTACAGTTTCAGATTATTAACTTCTGAGTGAGAATTACAGGCATTTTGAAAAGTGAATTTATCCTAAAAAAGCACTGTAATATCAGTAACATGAATTAGCTTTATAAAAGTACGCTACAGTCTATAAAAATCGAAGTAAAATATGTGGATTTTGGAAAAATGTCACTAGCAGGTTTTTTTATATGATTCTACACTGAAGACATTTTATGAAGAAAAATTTTAAGTTTAATGTAAAGTGGAGGTTGGAATGAACCGATGCGGACCCGAAAGTGGGTCCATCACAATTAAATCAGCACACAGGTACGACACAGCGTATACCTAGCCAGGCGGACGTGTTTGCCATATTTCTCGAAATGCCAGTAAGTTGTAACGTGTAACGACTTTACAGTTGTAAGAACCCTTACGGTTAGAGTTCTTTTTTTTTTTACAGCGAGTGTAATATATTTTCTGTAAGCCGCTGAAACACGGCCTCACAGTGTCTAGAGTTTTACAACTCACGAAAGCAGAATCCACATTGTACGTATCGAATCTGTGGCCTACAAGTGGCTTTGTCTTATCAAATCCTGTGGACAGTTGAACAGGCCTCGTGAAAATCCAGGCTCAAGGGCCCATCAGACATCCTTTTGTGTTACGGTTTCAAACACCATAAACGGGGAATATGTTTGAAACAACCCGCTGATGTCATAACACCTATCTTGTCACAGAAGAAGTAATTTCACTGTGAACAGGTCCAGAGGTCGTTGGTATGAGTGAATCATCGCACTGATGATGGAGGCAACAAGGACCTCTGAAACGTCGATGGACATCTACCAGGCTGCACGGCGCAAGAACCCGGAAAACAGACATCTTCAGACTCACCGCCGTCAGAACCTCAAATTCTATTTGACATTTTAATTTGTTTCGTGTTATTTTGTGGTAGATTTTGTATAAAGATCATTGAAATAAACCCACCCATCGCTGTTTAGTTAATTATTGTTTTGGACGTGTTATATTCAAGGTGCCACAGCTTGTCCGCGAATCCTTAGAAGGAGAGAAGAATGTTGAAGGGACACAGTAGCGGCCCTCAGATCTATTAGGATTGTATAAAAAGAAGGTAGTGTACGTTTTTACGGTATCACCACGTGACCCGTAGATCATGATGACTGCACAGCCGAGAAAAACACATAACACAAGCCACTGTATTCTGTAATAAAAAATAACCCCAGTCCTAGGGCCAATGTTATATGTGCTACCGCGTTACACTGTGGGCTTTGGGATGGAGAGACGTCAGGTTTTATGCCTCATATTGGCTCGTACTGAGGCACCCTGCATCCCAAGAGGGTTCGGAAATATGTAGTAAAAACACAAGGGAGGGGGGGGGGGTCTAAAAATAAAAATGTAACTTTAAAATATAAGAGAACTAAAGCATTTTGGCAGTGAATGTTTCAAATTAACAAGTCAAATGATTTTTTTTAAAAACGTTAGTTAAAGTAACACAAGATCGGAAAAGCGCAATTGAATCCTGGGGATAAACAGATACAAATTTGTTGAACAGATAAATTACATTGCATAACTAACTCTATGGAGCAGACCTCTTCTTGGTTCAGAAATTTCCAGGCTTATTAGAATCCCAAGATCCGCTACCATGTACAAAGGAGTCCGACGTTCGACCCCATCATGAACCAGGTCAATCCAGTCATGACCCTCACACCACATTTCATTTGGATCCAGTTTAATATTATCCTACCACGTACGAACATCCCAAGCTATGTTTTTCCTTCAGGTTTCTAAAACAAAAATGTACGTATTCTAATCACCACATGCATGCTAAATGTCATGCCCATCGCTTTTTCCAAATTGTCACTATCCTAATAACATGTACCGCAGAGTTCGAATTAAGAATTTTTTTTGAGTTTCATTCAAGATATTTTTCCTTCATCTCTCTTTGGTTTAAATTATCTCTTCTCTGCTATGTCCCAAAATATCTCCAACAAATTCCAGTTTTTACAGCCGCGAGAGGTATACTGCGTTCCAGCGTTTTTGGCCGCTGAACTTTGTGAATTGGAACCTCGGAGCGAGTCACTTACCAGACGTTTCTTGGAAGGGATGGCAGCAGGCCGCGTACAGTACACTCCAAATAAAATATCATCACGGTACGTAACACAGGAAAGTCGTTTCCACCACACTACACATCACTAGAAAATTAACACTGCAGAGAGTGTTAGATAATTCTATCTTCTGGACAACCCTTCGGTCCTCATCCAATTCTTCCACTCCTCTCAGAGCATCGATTTCTGACATCACTCGATTCATCATTACCGCTGCTGCTATCCACTCCAATATCTTCAATTATATATTTTAGTGACAAAGCGTGACTAAACGTGACCTCCTTTGAAAACGTGACGAGAGGACATCTTAAGTGTTAAAATATCACCAAGAATTTAAAGGCGAGAAAAATCCTGAATACGCGTGAAGTACTGTACCGGCGCGACGAGATGTGACCAGAAGTGTCGAAAAGTGACGAATATTTACAAAGCGTGACCAAGCGTGACGAGGCGTGACGTACTGTAAGGGCGTCACGAATTGTGACCATATGTGTCAAAAAAATAACAAAATCCACTAAACACACACCCCAACCTAACCTAACCCAACGTAACCTAACCTAACCTAACCCAACGTAACCTAACCTAACTTAACCCAACCTATCCTAACCTATCCTGTCGTAACTTCATCAAACGTATTGCAAAGTAGCAAAAAGTAACCGAGCTGTAAGTTACCTAACGTAAGCGTGTTGAAAAGTGACTTGGTGACAACGCGTGCCCAAGCGTGACAAAGCGTGATCTGCTTTGTCTTCGTGACAGGAGATCACCATATGTGTCGAAACCTGACGAAGATTTACAGAGCGTGACCATTCTTGACAAAGCGTGACGAGGGCGTAACGTACTGTAAGAGCGTCACGAATTTTGGCCATCTGTGTCAAAACTCAAAATGTCTGACTGACCGCAAGAAGTGAATCCAAGGGATCCGACGGACTGCGCCTGCGCAGTTTATATAGACTTCATGCATGTATAATTACGGATGAATTCCAGCAGAGT